TTTATATATAGGCTTCTTTATATAAAGTTTTGTTTATTTTCTAGTAATATTACTGTATTAAACAATAAATTTTTTAAAAAAAGTGTATATTTTGATTAGTTAATTATTACAAGAAATCACAAATAGATCTACAAAAATTAACTAATTATATAAATGTTTTTTTATGAAGTAATAATAGCAGTTGTGACTTACAAAGTACTGTTCTCAAACTTGGTATAAATTACTAAAGTTTAGATTAGCTCTAGAAAGCTTTAACAATGATTTCTTAAAAATAAAAAAGTTTTAAAAGTATTGATTAATATTCAGAACTTCTTAACTGATAATTGTATCAAAGATATATTAGTAATACAAGTAGAGTTGTATTACAGAAAATTTAAATGAATAACACTTGTAGTTTGAGTTACAGATATAATATTTAGTATAGAACCTATAATGTAAATTATAGATAAACTACTTAAATTAGATACCAAAAGTATACATGTGGCTAGTTGTACTCTCTAATATAAGAGATTTCTTTGAGGCTTTGGCATAAATCTTTTACTTAACAATATTTGAATAAAATTTAAGCCCAAAGAGGCTAGTTAACAAAAAAAACAATAACTTACTTAAAGGTAGGACTGAGAATAGTATCCATCTTAAATGTTTCTATAGTATTTTCTGTAGTTTAGTTTTGTTGTTGTTAACTAGAAAATTATTAGAAAGAGTTGTTGAAAAAAAAATAATAATAGTTCTATTTTGCTAAAATATTATTAAATAATACAGTATATATATTTATATCAATATTTTGCTTTATTAATTTATAACAAACTTTTAAAACTATAATATCTTTTTTTTTAGCAACTTCAAAATCTATTTGTTTTATCTTAAAGTAATACTTTTTCAACAATCCAATTTTGATTTATTATTTAGATTCTTTATTTTCTTATTATTCTTTTACCTAATAATATATTATACTTTTATTATGGCAAACCTGTTTTGCTGTTTTATATATTAAAAGCTAAACTTACAAATGAATATTTAAAAAATAAGGATTTATTTTGTTTATATCTGATATAAAGAAAAACATTTTTTTTTAGTTAAAAATTCGTATAAAAGCAGCATGTACGCATATCAGATATGCGGTTAACGGGCATACGCGTGATCTATCGGAAATTACAGGTGCGGGAAACTTTTGTCGGGCACTGTAATATTATTAAGCACCAGTTTGCTTTAGTTTAAGATATATAATTAAGTATATAAATTATTTTTGATATAAGGTGTTTTTCTCAATCTGATGATTTCACTATAACGAGAATAACTTAATACACTAAATTATAAAAATCAAAGACTAAATATGGTTTAAAGTACGATAAGAATGCAGAGTATCTTTAGGCAAAGAAACCTACGCGTAAAAAAATTTTTTTTTTACGTAATTAATATTCATTATTTCCATTATTAAAACAATGTGTAGATAATGTTTAAACTTTCTATTACTGTATTAATATTGTTAATTTCGATCAGGATAACCCATCATAAATTTGAAAGGTCCCCGAATTTGAGTAGCTTATCACAAGTGTATCACAGATGATAATGAAACTTCTACCTTGACGTGCAATCAACTTCACAATCAAATTTTCAAATTACGTAATTTTTATATATTAATATAATACTGCAATGATGATAAATGATCTCAAAACGTCACAACAAAATCAGTCAATCACACGCAGCATAAATAATTAGTAGTTTATAATAATACTTTGCATTGATCACATCACGTAATATTTTATGATGCATCGGCTCGCGGATTCTTCCCCTGTCAGTTTATCCCATTCAACTTTTTTACACGATCTGATTCTCGGTGTTTTGATTGTCTCATTAAAAACTTTTTCAGTAGTGTTTGGCAGGACTTTATTCATTTCAAAAATATACACAAACATTCAATCTTCATTTTAGTTTTATTTTTATTTTATTTTATTTTATTTCTTTTTTACTATTTAAGATAATTTTTTCCTAAAAGGATACAGGAATAAAGTTCTTCATGGTCTTTCCACTTCATCAATCACCTTGTCCGATTGACCAGAATACAGTCAATCATGTATATAAAAACCAGGGAAAACAACAAAACAACGGTAAGTATAATTTCTTCGAATATCAACCTTAATCATATTCATTCATCTGGTTATAACGTTTTTTACTGCGGCATACACTAAAAAAGCATTTTTGTATAAGACAGTGAACGACGATGGGATAGAACAACGTTCAACGGAATTACCTACTGGTTCTCATGAAAATATAAACATCTTAGACACATCTGAATACTGGGAGCAATTTTTAGGAAATGCGGATACATTCCTGCAGAATGACTTTGAAATGTTTGATGAATATGGTGCGCCGATAGATTCTTCACCCAACGCACCATTCACACCACTTATTGAAACAGTAAATCCATTATCACCGTGTGAAGAACCAATATACCAACAATTAAAATGTTCGACCACAAATTGGCTTTGGTCAACATTTATACAATCTATTGTAAATGGAATGCCGCATCTACCAAGTGATCGTATAAGCGATATTATCGAGGTTGATTTCCCTACAGATTTTGCTATGTCAACATTTTATCAGCTCCTTAGCCAAATGACCTTATTAGGATCACACGTATTTACAAAATGTACGATCTTACGCATGATGAGTTTTAGTGAATGGAATCGCAGACACTCACTCCCAGATCATCGCCCAACATGGAATGTGGAAGCAAATAGTTGCTCAGGTGTTGAAATTGTCGAACCTGGTGAAGTAATTGATGAATTAGTTAATGAGCATTTAGTAAACGGCACGAATAAATCACCCTCTCCATCTTCAAAAACTTCAGAGCAAAAGTCACCTTCATTAAACCAACAGCAAACTACTGAACCATTTCAAAAACAACTTGTGGTGTCGTTAGACATTGTGGTACAAGGACAATATCTTTCACCTCAGAGTGAAATGTTTTCAAAAATTTTTCATTATATGTCGACACAAATATTTTTTCGACCACACCCTTGTGGCCGATATGCTTCAAGGATTACTATGCCAGTTCCTTCGGTTTCTACCATTGAACCAATTATGATTTGGCTGTACAATCATGATGACGAGGCATGGTTGAAAACTGTGACGCCAAGGAGCTTTGAACAGGTTTTTTTTTTCTCACATTCCATTATATTTATTCCTTTTTACCACCATTGTCATACTTGTTTATATTTTAGATTTGTCGGAATGTGATATTTTTGGGATTGGGAGATGATGCTTTAGATGTGTTATATAACTATTTTCAACAACATTTGGAAGAAATAATTCAATAGCACTTTTGGTAGACTAGTCTTGAATATCCAAAATCTGAACATGTTCATGACAAGAGATGTACACACATACATATACTCTCGCATATATTGCATTCAATTTAATTCGCTTATTCATTCGTACGATTTTGTAATATCGAACGTCTAAGAGAACGTGAAAGAAAAGGCCAGACAACCTACCTACACAAATTTTCTTCTTTTTGCAAATATGAAACTTAGTCATAATGGTAATGCTGAAAACAAATTAGAACCAACTTTGATAAATCGTTCCTTTGATAAATTAATATGTAAAAAAAATTTCGACAATATGATTTCGCCTACAAGCCAACTGAACACCTTTTTTTAATCAGTTAACATAGTAATAATTACTTTAAAGTTGCAGTACACGACTCGCTGAAATAAAAATTGCTTAATGAAATTGTGGTATTTGATTTTTAACACATGAATTGGTTCAATTATTTGGAAGCAAAATTTTTATAGTAGTGATTCATAGGATATTTTGGAATTAGCGTTAGCATGTGCTTCAAAAACTTAAATAAAGAAATGTGGCACAAAAATACAAATACATCAGAGCTAGCATAGAATCATTAAAAGCAAAAAAGCCGAACTTTTCAGAAAGTGTTTGAAAGGCATTATTATAGAAAAAAGAACTTAAAATGACTTTTTTGTTCGTATATCAAAAGAAGAAAAAGAACAACATATTATTTGCATCCATTAAATCTTTTGACGGGCTTGGTGGCCATTTTGACTTTTGCGCGTGAGCCATTTGTCAAGTAAACATATCCTTGTTCAAGAGCACGATGAAATGATTCCGCATACCAAAAATCCGCAAATGCACAATTCTATTTATAAACAATTGATAAAAATGACTCAAACAAAATCTTATGGCACAAAAATAATTTTGATGCACTCATGATTTGTAAAAGGAGAGTTGGATCTCTTTTAGAATAGGTAACCCCTAAATTTCGCATGATTATACATTAAGTGATTAATATATAATATAATATTCTGTTACCTGGTGTGATATCTATTCTAAAAGAGATCCATGAATCTAGTTATTCCTAATTCATACCCTAGCACGGACAATTTCTAGCCAAGAAACTTGTCCGAAAGCACGTTCAAGGCATTGCTGTAAAGTCATTTCATCTATATCATCTGTAACAGCACCGATATAAACTCTACACCAATCGTTTGAACCGGATGCTTGAGGCGTTGTCTTCCCTGATGTGTTAAAAAACTATCAATCTTGAAACTAATAGAACTAACTGCTAAATACAAAAAATATTTGTTCTTTAGAAAACAAACTTTGAATATCACAGCTCAAAGATTTAATATAGTTAATTTCATTATAATAATCTAATTCACCAATCATAGGCGTAGTATAACTAAAGTCAAGATTAGTACTTCGATTTTTTAACAAATCTTTGATTAAATTTCTTTGAGCTTGGATAAGTTCATCTTGAGCTTGAGAAATTTTGTGATATTTGAAAATCAGGATATCTTTAAACTCGTTTTGAGATTTTAAGGATGTGCAGGATGAACATGCTGGAACGTTATCGGTAGTTTCAGATGATGTCATTTTTTCTTTAAAAACAAATTTTAGAACTAGTTTTTTTTTTTTTTTAAAAAGAAAAGAGCTAAGGTTATATCTAAAAATAATCAAAGGGATTTGAATATATGTTTAATAATAAGAAATGATCAAGTTTAAACAAACCTGATTACACCACTCTGTTATTTATTCACTTTTGCTGATTTTTGGCTGGTATCTAATACGTCATTATATATCGATTTCGTCAATCTTGCTGTAATCATTTCCTGTTATTCAAGAACAATTAATTTCGCAGCATACGTGAAAGATTTAATATTTTTTATTGTTCAATATCGATATGTATTTTAAAGAAACTTAAATTGTAACTGAATAAAACCAATTTATGAAAAGGGATTCTTCGTACAGTCTGTTTCAATTTTAATTAGCCAAAATTCACCTTTTCATATGCTTATTATATTGGCAAATTTTATATTCATTTTCTTTTTTTAGAATATAAGTTTATTATTAAATACAGTAGTTTGATAGAATTTTATAATTTAGTTGGCGTTGATTAATTGAATTAATAGATTTTGATTGTTTTTTCGTTCGGAGAAAAAAAGTTAGCGTTCTCGTGATCACCGACTATTCCGACCCAGTCTGGAAAGTTAAAATTAGATGTAACATGATACCCGATATATAAACATTTTTCTAGACTGAGTCGGAAATGGTTGGTGATCGCCATGTCTAGGAAATATTAAACCTAGCTGCCGCACAAAAAATGCGCGGTTTGGGCCCGCATTACATAATTTTGGCCGTAATTAACTTTTTAACTTTTTCATTCCT